CCCCAAAACCCCAAAACCCCAAAACCCCAAAACCCCAAAACCCCAATTATATTTCCCTCAATTGAAAATATATTTATGATTAAACAGGTCCACATTGACAAACATGAGGAGGTGAAGAGCCCTATCAGCCAGCCTTATCAGATATGAAAGGATATAAAGTCTTTAGCTCATCAACTGTATTCCCTCAGTGAGCTTCCAAGAGAAGGAGCTAGCCTTCTTCTGAATTATTTTAACAATGATGATACTAAAAGGGAGCTAGATATACTTGCCAGCAACCTTAGAGCATACAAGAGTAATAATAAACTAAATTTTAAATAAGAACCAAATCGAAGTGAAATCTCCCAAAGCGGTTCATGTCCTTCATGGTTTCAACGTTCAAGGTAATTCTCCAGAATTATTAAATAGTCAGCAACTTAGTCGTGAAGTTAATAATGATTAAAGAGTTCGAAACAGCTAATGCAGTATTCAAATGCCTTAAGGACTCAATGTATGGACTTTCCAGGTCTTCACTATTCAATAATTCTGCCTGAGCTAAGGTCCTACGTAGGAAATACTACTTATCAGCATAGAGAGTAACTTTAAAGATGCTAGTAAAGAGCTGGCAGAATGAGAATACCTTGAACTCAATTCAGAAAACAGCATTGGAATTGCAATGTACCCTAATCAACTATTTCCTATAGAAACTCCAACAATCGCTGAGTAATGCTGATGAAGCAGCGGAGATATCATGAAGCTCATGATGCAGCAAATCGAGGAGTGGTTGTTCTAGAGAAATTGATAAAATTCCCTAAACTAAAATCAGATAAAGCCTGTGCAAAAATGATGAGGAGTCACTCATTTGTGCAAAACCTGAAACTGCTTCTAATGAGCTACTATAACCTTGTAATTTAGATTATAATCCATAGGCTCAATCAAAGGTTAAAATAGGGCAATCAAAAGATGCAGAGATAATCTTCAACCATGGCTTGCTCATGTCTGAGAAATTTTTCATCACAAATACTCTCATTGCAAAGAAGTATAAATAAAAGAGCAAGGTTGAACAATAAAAACAACAAGAACAAAAATTTTATTCAAAAAAATATCAAGAATGCTGCTGTTCCAGTTTCTAAATCTCCTGTTAAGCCGCTACAGAGTTCTTCATCTCTAAGATCAACAAGAAGTAGCAACCATTTAGCTCAGATCAAAACTACCAGAAAGCATCAGAGCCCAACCAAGATAACCAGTCCTCTATCCAGTAGCAAAGTGAAGCAAAATAAGAGGGTAAAATCCGCATTTGAAAATTCCTTACAAGAAATGATCCTTGCAGAGAAAGGTAAACTCATGACTAACTCTTAGATCTACTCAAATCTTCAGAAAATGAAGAGTGAGAATCAAAGGCTACCAAGGCTACTAAAGCGCTCTCATCTGAGCTCTCTAACAAAATTAGAAGAAAAATAGCTTCCTTCACCGAAGAGGATATACATAAAATAATGGAGAGTATCCGGAACAACACTCCTAGCATCACAAAGATCCCTAATTGGAGGGATTTTGCAGATAAACAAGTTATGTATGCTAAAGGACAAAAGGAGAAGCATCAAAAATGTTATGCTTGAGACAATTAATTTCAATAAAAATTATGCATAAAGGGGTTTTGGGGTTTTGGGGTTTTGGGGTTTTGGGG